GCCATTCGAGCGATGCCTGTTACCGCTGAAGATGTTCGGGAAGCTACCAGAGAGGACCCGATTATCCAAAAAGCGATCACCTATGTTCAGAGTAGATGGCCAGTTAAGCAGCTGAGTGGTGATATGCAACAGCTAGCGAATCGTCGCAGTGCTCTCTGTATTGTTAACGACTGTCTGATGTTCGGTGATCGCGTAGTAATTCCAACAACCCTACGTTCCAAGATCCTACACCAATTCCACTCTGGACACCCAGGGATAAACCGTATGAAATCCATCGCTCGCAGTTATGCATATTGGCCGAAAATGGACAAGCAGATTGTCGACTTCGTCAAAAGATGCTCGCATTGTCAAAAAGCTGCGAAAAATCCTCCTAAGTTGCCTCCAGTACCCTGGCCAAAGTCAGAAAAACCCTGGTCGCGAGTGCATATTGACTTCATCGGACCCCTAGATGGTACCACATATCTGATACTGGTTGACTCCTACTCCAAATGGCCAGAGATATTGCCAATTGCGCCACCCTCTACAACTCGAACCATCAAACTCCTTAATCGGATCTTCGCTCAGCATGGTCTTCCAGAAACAATAGTAACAGACAATGGTTCACAATTAACATCTAGTCAATTCCGAGAATTTTGCCTGCAAAATTCGATCAACCATGTCCGTTCTCCGCCATATCACCCGCAATCTAATGGACAAGCTGAAAGGTTCGTTGATACATTTAAGCGAGCCATGCTTAAATCACGAGGGGAGGGGACCACAGAAGATATCATAGAACGATTCCTAGTTGCGTACCGGACGACCCCGCATGACTTATTGCCAAACTCCAAATCCCCTGCTGAGATGCTTATGGGGCGAATGCTACGGACAGTTCATTGTGCGATGAAACCTAAGCAAGTGGCGCAACAAAAACCCCAGATGAAGAATACTCGAATTCCCTACGAGGTTGGTACAAAAGTGTACGCGCGAGACTATAGACACGGATGTGATAGATGGGTAGAGGGTGAAATCACAAAGAAACATGGGGACGTCATGTATGATGTCAAAGTGAACCAAGAAATCTGGACCAGGCACCACAATCAAGTCAGGCCAAGGGAAGCGAAGGAGAAAGAAGCAAGTACAAAAAGCGTTCCAATCGACCTGCTGTTGGACACGTTTCAACTTCCGCCAATACCTCCAACAGAGACGACTAAGTCATCTACTCAAGTAGAACATCCTTCTGGTTCTGTGTGGTTGCCTCGGAGGTCGGATCGCAAAAGAAGACACCCAAAGAAACTTCAAGTAAATCCTCGATTACGTCGCTATTAACTTTTCCAAGGGGAGGTGTTGGGATATTCAGAAAAATATCCTAAAAACAATTATCCGGTTAAGTCTAATGCTACCCTTGAACGTTAAATGGTGTCATTTTCCTATTGGACGTTTCCCTACTAATCAATATTTATTTCGCGTGTCATTTCCCCATTGGTCAATATTATTTCACGTGTTATCTTTCTGTTGGTTAATATTTATAGTAATCCTAACTGTATAAATATGCATTTGTTTGTAAATCATTATTCGGCTTCTGACCCCATAAACAATTTTTCATCTACGGTTCGTGTTCTGATATATTGGAGATTGGGAACAGTATTGGGGTCGAACTGGGATATCTGAAGCTGGTCAATCGGTAGAAATTAGAGTAGTCACCTCGCGATACACAATAGTTAGTCTGGCTGTAAAAGGTCGGATCTACAACGCGTCGGTGAGAGCAGTTTTGCTCTATGGTTGTGAAACCTGGCCTCTCCGAGTTGAGGACGTTAGACGACTCTCTGTGTTCGATCATCGCTGTCTCCGAAGGATTGCTGACATTCAGTGGCAACACCATGTTAGTAATGCAGAGGTTCGGCATCGTGTGTTTGGGCACAGAGACGATAATTCAATTGGTGTCACCATCTTGAAACACCGACTTCGGTGGCTTGGACATGTTCTACGAATGTCGTCCCAGAGAATTCCACGTCGTGCATTGTTTGCCGACTCTGGGACTGGTTGGAAAAAGCGGAGAGGTGGTCAGTGCATGACATGGTGTCGTGGTATGAAAGAAAGCTGCAAAGGACTGGCTTCTGTCGGTCCTTCACGACTCCCTGGTTGGGGTCCGAGAGATGGTGTTACACAGTGGCTAGAGACGTTATCAGATATGGCTCAGAATAGAAGCCAGTGGCGATCCTGCTGTAACCTTCTTTTACTTTCTTCATAAAAAGTGGTTGTGTCTCCCTTACTTGAAAGATTTCTTCTGATTGTACCTTTCCGTCCCATCGTTCGACCGCACTACCTTTCACCAATCTCTTTGTTATCGTTCTCTTTTTCTTTTGTGCTCCTTAGTTTTTTTTTTCTTTTCTCTCTTCGAATTTTCATTGTTTTGTGTGGCGCATATATATTGGCGCTCTCTTGTACCAATATTTATGTGCTCAAATAAATAAAAAATAAGATATATATAAATTCTACGTTTACCACAGTTTAGCGTTAATCAAATTATGAACCATCTGTTGTTAGCTATTCCGGGTTTTTGAATAGTTGAAATTAGTATTTTTTTTTCTAGAGAAAATTAATATAAGTGATAAACGCAAAAACGATTCAAAATACTAAATTGTTTGCTTACGAAGAAGCAATAAAAATCATAGACTTATGAAAAAACCGCATTTTCTCAAAGTCGACACGCAAGGTGAAAATTATTAGTGCTTGGTGGACCCATGGCCTCCCTGAAAATTCCTTCATACGCTCCACTTTTATATGTTAATTATATTTAGATAGTAGACTGAAGTCAAATCTGTGGCACGTTTTGTAAGCTTTTTTTCACCAGACTTTTCACAAAAGTGTGTGAAGACATCTGGCGAGTAAACTAGTTTCGAACAACCCTTTCATGATTTACGACTGACATAATCTGGTTTCTGACAATAAAATTGTTAGTTTGAAAGATGTTTAAAATTATGTGCGCGATTGTGATCTTATGAACATACATCTATTCACTAAGATAAATCCATGATTTTTTAAGTCGTAACCAATCATTTTATTCACAAGTGGAAATCTGGTTTAGCATACTGAATTTTATGTAAAATTTGTTTAATAACTTTCAAAAAAACTTGATGAACATTGATGTCTATTTGTTTATTTGATCTATTTCGTTGTAATATGTCAAGGAGTTACCATATCGTCATTTTTTATGTATGCCAATAGACGTTTGTTTAAAGCTCATTAATATGTAAAAAAGGAGTCAAGCTTAGAACTTAAATATTACAAACTAACAAAATTGCCGTTAAGTTTTCGATTTCAGCCAAATGACATGATGAAATATCTAAGTGAATGCTACAAAGTCAAACCGACATTTTTGTCATCAAGAGAAATAACTGAAAAGCAGTAATCTGTAAGCATACTATTTTTTTAGATAATCAGTCAACTTGAGGGAGTAACCAATGACATCTCTGTAGTTTTTAGTGATTCGAAGAATAAAGTACTTTTGCTATAGGGTTAGTACGTAGGCTTTATGAAGTAATCACAATGTATGAGTTGGGTCGCTTGAGGTATATCATCATAATCATGTATTACATTCAACGTTAATTATTACTTTTGTCTTTAAAATTCAATCCACCAAAGTTGATCATTGTGAACAGTCTAGGTTATAAAATAACACCAGTCCATAATGAATTTAAGATTTGGACTTGTCACAATTTTAAAGGTGAATTCTGAGTAAAATATTATAGACAACTTATCAAAAGGGTTTTTCGTTTAGTTGTTGCCTATATGAACTGCTTTATGATTATTTTCTTCTTGAAAAGTACGCATAAAACAATTCTATTTTAATTAGAATAATTCTAAATTTCTGACATATATTCTTCCCTAATTTACTATTAACGTAGTAAGTCTGAGCTAGAGTTTACTGAAGACTTCTTTCCTCGATAATTTAGTGTTATAAAGAGAACTCATTTTACAAAAAATATTTAAGTGACCTGATTTATGTTCTTTAGAGGATTGGATTTTGCACAAAGTACATTTTCAGTGTAAACTGTAGAAATATGACCTAATTCGAATGACATAGTACATGGATATTTTAAAAATTTTCCTAAATCAAGTGACTGAATAATAAGCAATAAAAATTCTCCATAATACTTTAAATCTTACTAGTCCACAAGAACACCAATAAAATTAAGTGAGACTATACCTGTGAAAAAGATCAGTAATTTGTTTCTAAAGTGACAATACTTTTTTTCTATCAACATCAAAATACAATCGTAAAGTAAATGATTTGTTAATACTAATCAATTTAGTAGTAGTAACAGCATAAAACGTAAAAAGCACTTGTAGAGCTGTAAAAAAGTAGATTACATTAGTTAGTGGATTATAACATTAATTTCCAGTTTGGTCATGTGTTGCCATGTATCCTTCTATTCGTGGAAGTGTAAGAATGGATTTCTGTCTCAGTAAATAATACCAGTTATTATTATTACTACCATTATTACTATTATTATTGTTGTAAATTTTTGTGATTAATGTTGAATTTAAAGTCTAACATTACGTACTGACACTGGTTAATACAACAGTTGATGACAAGGAAACACTAGACGGATTGAGAACTCAGCAACACACATCCACAAATCTACCATAGATTGAACTCACAACCTTCAGGCTATATGATTAGTTTTGAACCTTCAAATAACTAGCTTAACGTCTACTGGTTAACATTCTGAATTTAACTCATTTCGCAATATTCCCTGTCACTGTTGATATTTGTTTCAGACTCGACATGACTGATCTCCAGTTGTCATAGATTCTCACTGGGACTTTGGGCATAGTCTCTCGAACTTAGCTAACAGTAACCACACAATGCGTAACATTATTCAATATTGAGTAGACTGTTTATTTATATTATTAGGATCAGACTAAGGTTCAGCAATAATTAATCTATTAATTGCCACGTGTACTAATTTTTTCAAATGGTAATTTGTTTTGTTCAACAATGTATTTTTTAAATTTAGGGTTTAATTTTATGTCCTGGAGAAAACAGAATCAGGCTAGTAAGCGATCTTATACGAGAACAAACTGGCAAACGTTGTTTAGTTGTTATTGGAGCAACAACAGCTCTTGAAGTAGTTGGAGAACAGTTCACCGAACTAACTATTGGTTCTAAAAGTCCTGAATGTGGACATGAAGTTAAAAGACTTCTTCAGGTAATAACAGGTGGATATAATGAATATCTCTGAAGACTTTTGGTAATAATTCAATTTTTAAAACACAAAAAACACTGTTTATAACATCACAGTAAGGATAGAAAATCTAAACACTGTTTCTCTAACATTGGTTTGAATTCTGTTCATGAAATTCGATAATAATAAAACTGTATAGTGAGGTAGCACAATGAAGTCGTTAGTTTTTAGTATACTGGTCATCTAATTAACATTTAATGTCAATCGTCTTCATTAGTCGTTTAATTATTTGAAGTACTGAGAAAGGAAATTAAGATTTCTAACGAGATCTACCAGGAAAATAAATTAAATAAAATAACAATTTTCAATCTCATCAAACTGGTGACATGACCCATCCTCTTTGGTAAGCTATCACACCTGAACTCGATGGTGAAAACGAATAAAAAACTCTAAGAGGCTGTCTTTAGGAATGTAGAGTGAACTTATTTTACAGCCCATTTGTAATGGTAAGTGGACTGACTCCGAAGTAAATATATAAATGTATGCCTCGGCTACAAAAATATAGTATTTAACACAGCTCATTTCTGTTTGAATTTGACATACCATTTATTCTCAAGATATTGTACAGCTTGTTTGATTTCCTCAACACATCACAAACAAACAGTTAAATAATCATACAACGAAATGATTTCAAAAAGATTCTAATCTAAGTTTCAGCAGCTAATCAAAAGCAAGTTGGAAGTGTCTCATCTTAAAAGCTGCATTAGAATTTGTGATGCATGACATAGCTTCTTATGTAATTGGTACAATCTTAAATACAATTTGTCGAACCTGAAAAATGATATGCTGGTCAAGTCCAGGCATATGAAATCTATATTAGCATATGGTAGATGGAAGCTTTCAAAGAAAGTAAGCTTTTATTTCAAACAGTTTATGCATCTCATTATGTTTCGAGGTATTTATCAGGAATAGATATATACCAATGAGTTTGTATGCATTTTGATTCGACTTGAAAATTACATATTCCCGGTTATCTTAGTCTTCTTACTCACACACCAATTTAAAATTGAGTATAAGGAGCGTGTATATTAGCATTGGATTGGTGGAGTATAGAAAAAACCAAGTTGGGAACACTGAACAAATGAATCAAATAATGGAAGTCAGTATTGTTAAAAAGCTGTTCCAATAGAACTTTAGCCGCTGCTTTCCTATACAGAAGTACATGGTGCCTCCAATATTTAATCACACTGAAACAGTACATTCTGAATTTATTTAGATCAACGAATTTCCAGTATTCTTAAATCGAGACAAATCTTGCAAGTGTATAAAAGTAATCACAACTGTGTGCTATAAACTCATCAGTTTAACGCAGCTCAACATATTTTATGAAGACGCAAATGAAATGACAGTTATAGCTTACAATAAAATTTCGAATGAAAACTACACTCAAGTGGTTAATAATCATTCAATAATTGAGACAAGATAATGTCCAAACTGAATTCTCCATATTTAATTAATAACCTAATCTAATTTGATTTTGCCAAGTCATTTACGCACTTTTTAAAAATAATTTGTACCTCATTCCATACTGACATAATCCTCTTTTTGAAGGTGGGAAAAATATTTAAGCTTGGTGAGATGACTTAAGTGTCAGTAAATTACATTGTTCAAATGTAAATTATTGATAGTTAATATCTACTATTCTGTATGTTCTATTTGCATACGTCAATGCACAGACAGATTATATGAAATTAGTCATAACTCAAGACGATGTTGGTGTTGAATTATGCGGTTCATTGAAAAATGTCGTAGCGATAGCAGCAGGGATATGTGATGGTCTAAAGTTAGGTGATAATACGAAAGCAGCTGTAATAAGAATTGGTTTCTGGGAAGTGTCTGAATTAATGAATGAACTATTTCCTGATAGAGGTTAGTTGAGTCGTGTTGTTATTTTGTCTTTTCGTTTCATCCGTCGATAGTTCTCAATTAATTTAAATTAAAAATTTATCAAGTTTCGACAAGCGAAACTGTCAACATCTGTGATAATTATAAAAAAATACGATATATATATATATAGGATGATGGTCACCTTACTTAATCAGATATTGCACACACTATTGTATAGCTTATGAATTAATTAAGGGTTAGTGTACTCGGCTTTTAGCTACACTTTTTCATTCTAGAATCAATGATTCCGTAAGATGGTGTTTATTTACACAATCTAAGTGGTTGAAAATCGAGTACTGAGATCACTAAAGTTCCATATTCACATACAAGTTAACCGTAACTTACAACAGACCATGGAAATAATTGATTACACTAACATATTCAGTTTTTCTTTTGTTAAGTGTTTGGAAATAGAAGACAGAAAACCCTGCTTAAAATCAGTTTCATTCCAATTGACACCTTTCAGCACAGCATACTTTCACTCCTGAAGAAACTGATGTTGACTGTGATATTTGAAGACTTGGCATTCAGCTTCACAGTCTGAGGCGTTTCCACTAATCTATCTAGGCCGTAATGGTAACGTTGCCGCTGGGTCGTGTAGGTTTGAATTTCACAGATACGATCAGTCCCTTAAAGACTGAAAGTTCTTCATGCTAACGAGCACCAACGAGAATAAAACTTCGGTCCAGGGTTTCCTGGTTACCACCTTAAAGAATCAAACACCAAAATACAGTGCAGGTGATATCAAGTCATTTTAGCAAGTAGCCGCATTGCAACTCGATTGACAGAACTAAAAATACATTATATCGCTCATTACTTCATGACCAATTAACTGTTTTTCAATAATTCAAAAAGATCAGTCAATTTTAATTCTGATAATTCCCAGTGAAATGTACATTATGAAAAGAAATTTTTTCATGAAAGATTTCATTTAAAAAAAAAAATCGGAATTGTCATATTAATTCAGTAAATATGTAGTTATGTTTCAAAATCCATGTTACGCTTTGATAAAACACACATATAAATAAATATAAGCTTTTGAGAATTGATAAAAAAGGTCATTTTATATCATGCATAATACATATCCGGAAACTATGATTTAAAATCACTAGTTAATCTATTTCTTCATTATTTCAACTTCCTAAAAAGTTGATAAAGGTCAGTCACTCGTTTCATAGTATAATGAATTCATTCAATATTATAATTTTATCGTTAATCATCGAAACCTATAAAATAATCTTCAAGAATATTTTTGGAGATTTATTTATAACAAATCTACTTAAGTGAAATAAATTTTTAACAAGCGTTACATTATCCAATTAAAGGTTTGAATAATATTATGTCACACAACAAGGTCAGTCAGTTTGGAAGCTTAACTGTAAGCTGAGACTTGCTTTTTTGCAAAACGATCATTGGTGAGAAAAGTCAGTAATTGGGTTCTGACTCTGTAGTTTAAAAGTATCATGCTTTCAGCTCAATCTGAAATTTTATGGTCTACAATACAGATTGACCTTAATTAGATAACCAGTGAAAAGCACAAAAACAATGCAAACCTGTTTCATTCTAGCACAAAATTTCTCGTTCACAATAGTGATCAAACCCAGAACGTTAAGGTCTGGCTAAGATCAGGTAATATTTAAACCACTGAGCTGGTATTCCATGGTTCACACTTCTAACTTAAGTCAATTCGCCATTGCCATTGTGTTGAAGCCCACATGGAAATCTTATTGTGTGTCCTGTTGATCATGATTTGTACAAACTCAGATCCATTTAAAATGTGAATCTACTTTGAAAAAAAGCAATGGAAAATTACATTATCTGGCAAAGTTGATTGCGGATATCGATATCAGGTGAATGTTGCTAAGTAGTACCTTTTTAAACTTATCTACTCCTCATAATTTTATACAGACAAATAGCCAATGACCAACACTGTAAAATATATGATATTCTGTTGCTGAATATTATTATTCTAACGTTAAATTATTTCTAAGATTATGATTGTACAACATAATCTAATGTAGGTGTGGATACAACTTCACGTGTTTGTAAAACGTATTGCCGTTTGGTAGAAAATAACAACTTCGTACAATATCTGCCCCACACAACATATGTGTGTCATGTCGTGTCGACAAAAAGAAACGACGGATTCAAAGCGGTACATTGCAAAAAAAAACGAAATTTAAAAACCGAAATTCATTGTAATCATAAACTGATCTAGGTTAGACCACCAAGAAAAACCTGGACATACTGGACTGCAGCTCCGTTGTAGTATGAGACTCCTCAGTAGAGCATGGTTTCGATTCCTGGTTACTAGGTTGTGGATGAACACTTCTGTTAATTTTCATACTAGGACCAAGCGGCTATCCACTGCCTTCTAGTTTTAAGTGGTAGTCTACCTAAGATCAGTTCGTGATTGAAACTATGACACCTGTACGACTTCGATAAAATTTTAAACTGACATTTATCTATTTATAAAAATAAACAGGTACAAATTATCTAACAACAGAGCAAAGTTGCGGAATAGCTGAATTATTCATGTGTAAGTTATATTATTATTATTATTAATTTGTTTTACTAAGTTAGCTATGAATGTTCTTTTTAAATAAGTTAAGGTCTTTATTCAACATGAACTTGATCGACAGAACTAGATCTATATGTTATTAAATAATCGTTTAAATTAAATTTTATGAGGCCAGTATTCTAAAATTAATGGTGGATTATTGAATAAACACTTGCATTTGAATTTAAATATTTCAAGTTTGAACAACTGTCATCTGTTTTTATGTAATAAGCCGAACAGTATTATCAGATCTCATATAAACAGTATAGTGCTGAATCAGTATTTTAGTACCAATTAGAAATTTCATATTATCTTTTCAGAAAATGAATGTAACGCCCAGTATCCGAAAGCTGATAATGATACGAACTTGTTCTACATACAAAACTGACTATTGGGAAGAAAATATAGTAATCATGTAAAGAGGTTTATTTAGGTTAAACTAATTCAAGTAGTATATATATATATATATATATATGTTACATTTTAGAAACTATTGAGTGAAGTGATTAAGTCACGTCACTCAACAGTTTCTAAAATGTAACATATTTATCATGAATTCACATACATGTAAGCAGCTGACGAGAAACCTCGAAATAATATGAATTCATACTATTCTGCACCATTATTTGTTCTTGCTTTATTTAAATTCATAAAGGGAACCAATTGCATGAAATTTTTAAAAAGCCGTCTCCTTGCTCACATTTTCAAGTCACTTAACCGGTTGGTGGCAGTTCGATGCAGAATATCGAGAAAAACAACAAGATTAATGTTTCTGTTACGTTGCTTGAATGATGGCTGCTTTCCTCGTCATATTATTAAAGCTGTCCGTGCTTGTAAAATACCTCCTTCCTTAAAAAATCTTCGGCGCGTCACAAAATCTCAAATTGAATGTACCAAGGAACTTATCTCCAAACTTAAAATAGAATCACTCGGTTATGACAAAATTATTATGGATTTAAACATTGTATGTAGAATCAAACTCATGAATTTCATTCACGATGTTCAGTCCAAAACCAATCATAAATTCCTAAAGACATTAACCAAAACACTTGTGAAAGAACAAAAACATTACGTCTTTTCTACGAACCCAGAAAAATACGTACAGAATTTATCCAGTAAAAAACTAACTCGAATTGAAACTGAAGCACTCTCCCTTGGATTTAAATTTCACATTCCGAAAAAATGCAACAGAATAGACACTGAAACCCAGTTTGAGTATTTATATCAACAATTGTCAGAACTGAAACCCATGAACGATGAAAAACATAGTTGGTTGAGATCGAAACTAGTTGACATTACAAACCAGTACATAACGACACCAACCCCACAATCGAAAGTGTTGACTAAAGATCACCAACTAGCTTTGAAAAACTTTGTGAAAGATGAAACAATAATGCTACTTCGTCCAGATAAAGGTTCCGGTGTAGTCGTTATTAACAGAGATGAATACATTAGCAAAATAATGTCTACTTTAAATGATTCCACTAGATTTGTCATCGATAATGCCCAGAAAGATCTAACAGAGAGGACAGAGAAGCGACTTGTAAATAAATTGAGAGATCTCCTAAAGAAAAATCTAATTGATAATCATACATACAACGAACTTAAACCTAAAGGATCACAATTACCGTACTTGTACGGCCTACCCAAAACTCACAAGCCCAATATCCCGATTAGACCAATATTATCCATGGCTAATTCACCTTTCCATAAACTCGCCCGCTGGCTGACAAAGTGCCTTGAACCAATCCGGAAAAAACTAACACCTTACAGTCTAAAAGATAGTTTTGAATTTGCACAAAAACTCGACAACCTAAATGTTTCCGACAAATTTATGGTTTCATTTGACGTCTCATCGCTCTTCACAAACATCCCCTTGGAAGAAACGATAGATATCATATGTGGTTATCCTGAACTTCTACCCCTACCAATTCATGATTTTAAACAGCTCCTCTTTTTTTGTACAAAAAACATACAATTTCAATTCAATAATGTCCTTTACCGCCAAATCGATGGAGTTGCCATGGGTAGCCCATTGGGCCCAATTCTTGCCGATATATTTATGGGACACCTAGAACAAAAAATGCTTAAGCACGCAATCGATGGTACTACGCTGTATTGCAGATATATTGATGACACATTCCTCTTCTGCAACAATTACGAACACGCCATTCAACTACTCGATCTATTTAATAAAGCACACAAGGACATAGAGTTTACTATGGAACAAGAAGCCGAAGACAAATTCCATTTCCTTGATGTTGGGATCCGACGAACATCTGATGGTAAATTACATAGACATGTTCACCATAAAAATACCTGGAGTGGTATATATCTCAATTACCATAGTTTCTGCCCAATGAGTTACAAAAAGGGCATTGTACGAACCCTTTTTGACCGCGCTCAAAAAATCTGTTCAAAAGAATACCTTGATGATGAAATCAATCTGATTACCAATGTTCTACGTGATAATGAATACCCATTGAAATTTATCCAGAAATATGCAAAAAGCAATCCTCGTACAAAATACGATGGAGTAGAAAGAAAAACCTGCTTCTTACACTTACGTTTCAAAGGTGATGAAATTGCTGGAATAATTAATCACAGAATAAACTCCGTGTTGAAAGTCACCTACCCAGCAGCAAAACTTATGACAGTATGGCAAACGAACTGCTCACTTCAACAAACCAAAATCGACAAGCCCTCTTTCCTTAGTAGCTCCAACTGCATCTACCAATTCACATGTACGTGCCAAAGCACATACATTGGAAGAACTGAGAGAAGAGTGCATGTCCGCATTTCTGAGCATGTTCCAAAAAACTTGAGGCTGCGAGGGAATAAGGCCTTCAACAGCGCAATAGCTCGTCATCTACTTGACACCGGACACACCATCGAGATTCCACACGCTTTCAAAATTATCAATAGACAAAGAAGTACGACCACCCTCCGTTTTGCTGAAGCCATCATGATCAAAAAACTCAAACCTGACTTATGCATCCAAAAAGAGACTTTAATTAACTTATCACTACCCTGGTAACCCCTTTTTATTTTATTATTTATTTATTTATACTCCTCCCCTATTACATAATTCTTAAACCACATTATCATTCACACATTTCCGCCACTTGATCCTCTTAAATTATCTTAACTTTTCAAATTCTATTTTATTACTATTATGTAACCTATCTTATAATTATTCAATTCCATTATTACACCATCCAACTCGAATTAATTCCTTTTGACCTCTGACCTGTTCTAGCATATATATATATTTACAATTATTATTGTAACCCAGTTATTTACACTCATCTATGTCAATTGTTTTCACTATATCTCAATGTAAAAATTCTATCACAATTTTGGTTTGTAAGCAGCTGACGAGAAACCTCGAAATAATATGAATTCATACTATTCTGCACCATTATTTGTTCTTGCTTTATTTAAATTCATAAAGGGAACCAATTGCATGAAACATACATGTTAGTTATTAGTTATCATTTATATTTTTCTTGGTTACGTTAATTGTTAATAGTGTGAATGAAATGAACTTCAATATCCTGTATTGATACCAAATTGACATTCAACAGAATTTTATGCTACCTATTCAATTTTATATATTAAGGTTGATTACACCTGTCATATATTAATATATGTGTAGTTTTCTCATTATTTTTTGAAAAATTAACTTTTTCATTGTCATTACAAAAATTTATGCAGATATTTGTGTGAATAAATTAGGTTAGAATTTAATGAACATTCATTAAACGAACTTTAGCTATTTCATATTTTGTGATAAGTGAGGATATGAATTCCATTTAAAAGCAGATATCACCAATTTAGAACAAAAATTGAACAGACAAACGAGTTCAAAACAAGATTTACAGAATGGACTGATTTGACCCGTGTGACAGAACAATGTGATGATCTGAAAAATGCATACTTGCGCCAAACATTTCGAATAATCTGGTCACACATATACCTGTCAAGGCATTTTATGTGAAAATTAATAAAGTTCAATTAAATGGAAGTTCAAGTAAATGAAATGATAATTATCAGAAGGGATTTTGTGAAGATTTTAGAGATTTCACTGGTTGGTCCTGGGCTCGAATCTCACAGGGGGAGAAGTCGTGGATGCGCACTACTGAGGATTCCCATCCTAGGACGAAACGGCCGTCCAGTGCTTCCAGGTTTTCCATGGTGGTCTAGCTTCAATTGACTCATGATTTCAACCAGTGAAATGATAATTGTAAATAAATAAGAGAGAAAACTAACACCGTATGGAAAGAATAAGAAATTATCGCATCAGCCTAGATCATAAAGTGATTCAGGGATTGCCAGGGTAAAGTAAAGGTTACGACAAATTGTTTCTTTATATGTAAGGGGTGGTTGGAATTTATGAACAGCTAAGGCTTCTATAGACCTAGGAATTCGTCCTTGGTAGTTTCAATACAACGTTTTAAAAGCTATACTGATTTCAATTCTATGCTCCATTTCAATTATTTGATTTACTATTGATGAACATGGTTTTATACTTTTCACGTTTATCGGAACATTTGAAACTAACTGATTTTGAAGTCATCTAGGCACACGCTTCATAAACCTTAATTGCATTGTTTAATCACACCTCCTTATATATGCGGACTCACAGAAATCTGTGAAATAATTTTGAAAAGTTTCACTCCTATCATAACCAATTATTGATAATGTTGTCCAGAAGAGTGATAACAATTTTGTAATTAAATTTTTCAGCCTATGGAATACTGTTATAACTTGTGGCCTTGTGCCTTATATAACGTAATGATGCCACCTATTAGAGAACAGTGCTTTATCGGCCAGACCAATGACGCACAAAACCGTACGAGTAGTCTAGATTCTTAATCGGTCCTTCTTCCTGCCTAGCCCTACCTGTTAAGTCCAGAACACAAATCTCAGGTCCGCAATATGAATCATGCATTTCAGATGTAGTGGGTTTATACATAAACCAAACAGACCGCATCGTACCATAAAATGGAGAATAACATTTGTACAAGATCTAGCCAAAAATAGCTGTGATTGTGGTTGACGGTAATTAATGAACTGGGCATAAAATGAGGATGGCAATTCGTATAATAATAGCCTATAAGTCAAAACAAAGCTTATAATAAGAATATGAAATACTAAAATGCAAATACTGCAAAAAAACTGTTTAATGAAACAATCATTTCAATAAAAACACACAAATTAGTTCACCAACGAATAACCAGCTATTTAAATTTCATGTTTCCCACACATCTCCTCTAACAATGTAGCAGGAATCTAATCTTAACCATTTTTAATCTGATTATTCTTTCTATCTCTTCCAAGGCATGTCTCATAAAATCGACGACATTTCCGATATAGGAGATCCAGATCTGTTGAATATTAGTATTGGAAGACGATTATCTAACAATGATACCAATAGACCATCAATTCGTTCCATAACTGATAAAATACCATACAGAACTTTTGTAGATGGAGCTGAATACGCAAAACAGGTAGTTTATTTGTTTGACTTAGCACTTGTTTTGAGCTAGCACGAAATATTCTGGGAAACAAAATAACTGTAAGGACATTAGCTAATTAGATTATCACAATAATGTATACTTTGATATACACTTTTGACTTGTTGAAAACAGTAAAAGATTTGGATATGCACTCTTGACATTTTTTTCTCAACTACGTTCATTTCCTCGAACGATTTCATTCATCATATCAGAGCAGTTTAGTGATCTTTGTTTACTAGGATGTCATCTCAGCGAACAATACCACTTAGCTAATTGTGATCCATTTAGATACTTCAGATTATTCCACCTGTATAAAAATATTTATTTATCGGTATTGTTAACCTGATGAGGATTAAAGTTAATTGGTTGAGTTCGTCTAGGCATGTTACGTGCCTATGCTCACATGCCATCTGAAAACCCAACCGTAGATGAAAAATTAGAAAATAGACAATTTATTGGAGGAAACTGATTATGCCCCTAGTCAGGATCTCAGCCTACATGTCCATGTCTGGATCAGAAGGATATATGTATACGCCTCAATGATTTATTTACCTACTGATTTATTTTCTCACTTCAAGCTTCTCAGTCAGGCATTCCATTCGCATAGCTGGATGAGAAAGCCTACCACAAGTGTATGTATTGACATAAAGCGCGGTGGAACTTAACAGTTTATTTTTTATCACTGAAGTGAACTGGAAAACAACATTTCAGCAGAGACCTAAAGTTAATCTTTTCATATAGGTTAATTCTAATTAGCATTTGACTGATTGAATAATTTAAAAAATATTGTATGTGAATAATCGAGTATTATTTAGCTGGAACACTAACCCGAATCGAAGATTTTCGACGATTACACATTCTGGTTACTTATATTTTTTTCAAATATATATCTTCCACTCTATTCACTGTTAATAAAATTATAGTTAGTCAGTAAAATAACTTTGATAAGGCCAAAATCATGAGCTTTATTTCCGTTAAAAGACATAATACCTTTATAGTGACCTGAAATTTCAAAGTGAATATGTAATAACAATCAGAATTCCACCCAATAGTTTATACCTTTTCTGTACAGCATCTATGGTTATGTTGGTACAATCACACCAAAATATAAAAGACAGCAGTTTATTGGTATTTACAGTACCGTGTAACCATAAATATGGAATATAATATATATAAAATATTTCAACAATACCGGCAATATATTATACAGCCAAAAAATATGTTACAAAAAACTCGTAAAATTGAGTCTATAGTATAACAAACTGATATTAGCGAGAAATAAAGCAAATTATTTGTCAAAGAGAAAATGTGTTCCAGATAAACAATCAGGTAGTCAACCAACTCACCCAAGCACATCGAAACCAGTACGGCTTTCGTTAGGGATTTACGGCATCATAATACAAAAGTACGAATCCCACAGAGCCAAAGTTGTAGATAAAAAAATACTAATAACATCGTCTGAACTAAACATTCAAGCCATCCAAATGGTTGGAGGGAATAAGAGCAATGAGGTTTTACAAAACGTCAAATAAAAGATCTGTAATATAGAAAGCATACTGGCTGGATTCTATACCACACATAAAGTATATCGCATTTTCTTACCGACTCAATATCCCATGGTGCATTTTTCAAACCTCAGTCAATTCCCAAAGTATGATTCGACCATTCAGTGGGATGGATATTAGCTGACACGATTGAAGTTCAGCATAGCGCCCAGTAACAACTAATTTTGGTTTGTTTCATGCATGTTATTTACCAATTAGATATTTTTCCATGAATTTTTTAAACCAAATTTTACAGACCTCGTTTTATAATAACCAATGTGAATGAAATACACTTTTCACAATGTTATCATTATCGTCCTTATTTTGTTTCAAGATATACAGTATCTTAGCTGACAGACGTCGTACTGGACATTTTCCATTATTCGTCGCTGTTCATCGTATTTGTCAGAATGAAATAAAACCACAAGAATTAATTAAATGTTTACAGTCACATCCTATTCATGCTTAACTATTACTTATGAGTAACAAGTCAAAATAAACACAATTTATGCTATTTTTTTTATTTTTGATATGAGGTTCTTACTGTTTTAAGTATAAACATTTGAAAATAGGATTTCATTTCTTACTTTACGAATTCTTGCTTTTTTTTATGAATCTCAGCTATTTAATGTGATTTCGTACAATTATACATGAAATGCGATTATAAAGTCTTTTCAATCCTTTGCAATATAATTTTGTTTGACTTAGCCAAATAATTAAGCCGATTCGTATCGGTTGGATTATCATTACAGTTTTTGCTGTTCACACTATGGTTTTGCTACATTTTTAAAATAAATAGATTAACTGCTATGGGACAATAACCATTGGATTACAATTTAGATTTTTGATATGTCTGTTAGATAATGAGACATTTACGTGTTATGCTGTTTCTCTTTGATAAGACAGTCAAGTTTTCTATGTTAAGTATGATCTAATTATTTAGGTTGTCCAATCTTCCATGGGTCGTTTGTTTATTTATGATAAGTCTTGCGGAATGAACGCTATAACTCGTCTTTTAAGCTATTCAGTAACCCCCAAGCTAGAACTATACAGCGACCTGAACATGAGAGAGAATACTCAAAGTACGCTAGAAGTAGTTTACTACAAGGTTCATTTTAATACAGAAAATACAGGGTTTTTATAATATTCTAAATGTCCTTGTGTTGCTAGAAGATTCTGGAATGCTACTAAACATAGTAGCAGTGTAGCAATCAGAACCTCTACATCTGACGCTTCGCTTCCTTGATATTTTTGGCAAAAACTTCAAGTGAACGCTGATTGGACGAGACGCTTCTTAGTGATTCCTGATGTTTGCTTGTCATTTGCAAGCAATTTTCTGGATCACTCCAACAATCTACTAATCAAATTTTAATTCCAATTGTTTGGTAGTGACATGAGATCTGGATAAATATTAGTGAAAATGACTAAGTAGGCACATTATAATTGTATACGGTAAAACACATTTTCGATAATAACCTCTGAAGTGTTATACCAGTTCACTTATATACGCCATAAATCAAACTCAATCAGTTCGAACAAAATACGTACTGAATCTTACAAAAAACGTTTCATATTCTTAATGATACTGCATCTACACGTTTATTTCTACAAATGATCGATTTTATATGACGATCAATCATAAGTATATACGACACAACAAAAATGTTGGAACAAATAGAACATAGACTCGTCATATAGCGCAACTTAGCAAAAGCATGATTTGTATTGGATTATTAAAACAAGAATTATTAAGTATATCCAGTCAACAATTACTAACAACTGGTTATCAGTAATTTGTAAAAACAAATAAAACTGAATTTTTGAGAAAGTATACAGCATAAAAATATGAATATTTACTATGCAAAATAATCACTGATTCCTATTTAACCCCAAAAGGGGATTTTAAATTTAGAAATGCAGGCTAGACTAAATGATATGAATCTAAAATCAATAGGGATAACAGTATTATCATTTGGACTCTTATAATATTTTGTATAAAACTGTCTACTTTGTTACAATACCTACTTTAACATGTTTACTGAATAACAAAATCATTTTATGTAACCTATTCTACCTAGTATCCAACACATAATTCATTTAGTTCAGTTTAAATTCTCATATCATAAAGCACCTTACTATCTATTCATTTTAAAATCATCAAACCAGTAAATTTTTCAATTGCCTTTTACCAAAAAAGAACGAAGAATAAGACATTCAGATTTATGCAAAAACATTTAGAAACAATAAAATAAGTTCAGTAAAATACACGTATAAATGTTGCTACAAAAGATTAAAATGAAGATAATACAAAGTATACAAATATCATGAGGTGAGTATAAAAAAAAACTATCAAACAGAAATCTGTCAAACTGTTAGGGTATTCAGTTCTGACAATTACTATTCATTGTTTAAAAAAATACAAATATTTCATACATACATTTAATTTAATCACTATATTTTAAAAATTCCAGTAAAGAACGTTGTCGTTGTCTATTGTTGTTAACAGATGAAGTCTTTTTCGATTGACTCTTTCTTTGATTAGAAGGTTTAATAGTTTGTTGTGATCTTCTTTCATACATACTCACCTCATGTGAATCTCGCTTACTACTTCTTTTAATAAGTAAGTCGGTGCGTACATCACCAACACCTAAGAATTAATAAAGTATGTATATCCATGATGAATTTTATTCAATGAATTGTTTGTTAAACAAATATAGAATTTAAAATATTAGCAAAAAAAAAGAAAATGACAGAAATAATCACTCTTTTAAAAACAAGTCAAATTATATTCAAACGGTGTATTACGAATATGATACGTTCATGTTAGTGTATATTTATAATTTAACTAGTCTCAACTAGGAAAAAAAATAGAAAGACTCCTTACTGAAGACACTTTAAAAACATCAGTTTATTGAATGGTTTATTTAAATAAAGCGATAAGAAGAAGAACACGAAATTCATTATATTTAACGGCTTCTTATTAGCTTCTCATACAACCTTAATTTACATTATTAATATTACTATCAAAAATGTCTACATACTGTACGTAATCAATGAAGTTTAGTTTGAAGTCACATGAGAAACAAGAGACAATATATTTAACATAATAGATAAGATTGATTCAGATTTCGCATGTTGAGGACGAAGTTGTAGATTATGATGAAGAGATGATCAATAAAAACATTGTTAACAAATATATGGTAATTAAGGCACTTAGTTGACATACAATTTAAATTAACATCGTGAGTGAATATCGGTGGAAATAGTCTTATTTTAAGTCAAAAAGTATAATAAACAGATAATTTAATTGACGAATGTTAAAATAACATAACTATCTTATCATGGTAATGAGAGGTTTACCTCAATAGCTTTCTGTATACAAAGGTCAGGTCGAAAGTGCTTGATGGCAGTAGCCTTTGCAAAGCGGAGTAAAAGTAGTGTTCACTGGTTGTTAATTATTTTAAGTCTTTATAATCGCCACACTTTGTCATCTATCCATTAAATATCTAATAATAGCACTGGTGAATATTCTACATCCTTTCGAACACAACTTGAGCGGAATATTTCTCGAAAACCTTGTAGACGCCCTTTACATCATAGTCCTTCCCAAACACTTGCTTCCGCAAGTACATGTAAATTTTAAAGATGACCTTAGAAGGGAACTGCCCAATTTTTGATTGATTTAATGAAAATCTGTTCTATCTTTAAAATACTAGAACTGCACGAAAGCTTTTTTTTAGCGCTGGTTTAGTACTCTTATCAATTCTACCTGAAATCTACCTTTTGAATCACAGATGAAGACAGATTTCTTGTTAACAATTGTGTGTATGGAACTTCCTGTACTTTATAGGTTGAACACAAGCTCCTATTAAATGGGATTTAAACTAAAGTGTTTGCAACGGAAAGGACGAAAAGTATTATGACTTAAGTATTGCCTCGTATTATCCAAATTTACCAAGGTATATATATATATATATATATATATATATATATATATATATATATATATATATATATATATATATATATCGACCATAACCATTCAACAGATCCACAAATTGACTTTAAGGTTGTTTATATGATTCGTTCAAATCTACCCAAATTTCTTCGTATCCAACTTTTAAAAATAGCCGAAGCTCTTGCCATCCAGGAGCTTAAACCAGAACTATGCGTACAAAAGAAGTACGTCTTATCGTTATCGTTACCTTGGCCTTAATTAGTTTGATTATCCTATTATTATTATTATTATTATTATTATTATTATTATTATTATTATTATTATTATTATTATTACTGTATTCCGCCCTTTACTTATGTCTTATATTCTCATTGTTTTATTCATGAACGCTCATCATATCACTTTATTTTTGTACACCTCTATGACCTTTAATTATTATATCAAAAACATCTTAATCATCTTATTATATTCACCAAATCTATTGTTATTATTATTATTCATATTACGTAATCTAGTATTATAACCTTTTTATTAACTGTGTTCACATTTCCTCACAGAATTAGTACTTTTATAAAAACTTTCATATATATACGATTGTACAGCTTGATAATAAATTCGTTGAAAAGAGATCCCTTCGCTGAAATTCGTGTTTTAATTTTAATGTTTAAATGGGAATTATATATCCTTTAGCTTTAATATGTTCAAGGTTTATTACAGTGGTTTTCCACTTAATATACATAAAAACTGGTACAACTAAATGGGCAGCAAAAGCGAATACACCATACAAGCTAACGTTGTGAAGAAATGAGCATTTGTAGAAAAGATATTTTTTGGTCTTTTCTAGAAGTTTGTGAAACATACATATAAGATGCAGTATTCAACCGAAACTTCCCTACGTGATCATCAGCATTTAAAATATGTAGGCATGATAGAAATTCTAACAATTTTTAGATAAATTTCATAGGCTTTGTTTATTGAACCACCAGACCATAGATAGGTTGTATTAAATATTTTAAAGAGAATTTTAAAGACTCGTAGAATATGTTCGCATGGTCACTGATATCGCAATATTGGATTCATTTATATTAGAAGAATTAAAAAAATTGCGAAGATTCGCCGTTGAAGCAACCCCCACCGGAGGTATATGATCTGAACCAAATAGATTACTAGACATACTGTATTGAACGAATGAAAAATAAGTTTGATCAATAGGTACTGGGTTTGACTACTCGATAATTTCGGCATCATGGTCAATGTTTTGAGTTTTATCTAGGATTTCCTCGGGTACCAACTTTACGTCTAAGTGGGACTCACCAATGTTCTCGGTCTTTGATCAGTTATCTGATTCACAGCACACACAGATATTCCACAAGTCTTTCCAAACACTTACTACATCCTATCCATAGTCAGATGATGCAACAAACAAGTCCTAAAAATTAACTCAATTTCTATCGTACGTACATGTTCTTAACTGCTGATGATTATATTACGAAGTTTCGACTGGTTACTAC